CGTATCATATCTATTCATCTATTCCTTTATACAAATAGGAAGATCAGAGATTCACTGTTCATGCTACAGTAAACGTATCATATCTATTCATCTATTCCTTTATACAAATAGGAAGATCAGAGATTCACTGTTCATGCTACAGTAAACGTATCATATCTATTCATCTATTCCTTTATACAAATAGGAAGATCAGAGATTCACTGTTCATGCTACAGTAAATGCTACAGTGGCATTTGCTGTAATATTACGTATCATATCTATTCATCTATTCCTTTATACAAATAGGAAGATCAGAGATTCACTGTTCATGCTACAGTAAATGCTACAGTGGCATTTGCTGTAATATTATTACTGTAGCTAATAATTAATTTAAAATATTACTGTAACACACGGGTATACTGTAACATTTAAAAGGTACGGTAGCAGAGCGGGATACTGTAGCACTTTAAAAAATTCAAATCATGACATATTAAAAAAAAGGGATTACTGTAGCAAAAATAAAATAAAATACCGTGCTTTGCACGGACCGCAAACTAGTCTATAATAATGGGAGGATCCAAGGTTTGCTATTTATGCTAAGCTAAATCACTATAGCATTATTACTGTAGCACAGACGGGAAGTGGTTAGAACATTACTGTAGCAGTAATATTGTATCTCAAGTGGATACTGTAGCATTTTAAAAATATTGCTATAGCACTTTCAAAAACTGTGTTTAAATACAAAAGGAAAATGACTTAAGGACCCAAAATATGGGACCAAGGGAGGGGACATGTGAGGTGTCCCTTTCCTATTGCATAATGAGTTGGCTATGCCAACTCATTATGCAATAGGAAAGGGACACCTCACCTGTCCCCTCCATTGGTCCCATATTTTGGGTCCCCGTAGTTACACTCAATACAAAATTACTATGCCAGAAATAAAAAAAATAGAGGCCGTGCTTTGCACGGGGTGCACACTAGTGTTATATATACTATTAAGTATGCAGCTCTTTCTTCCTTCTCTTTTTAACTGTTACAACTGATAAAATACACAGTCTGTCTGGAAAATTAACAACCCTTCATCAAATTAATTAATGGTTGTTCTATCAAGGTTTGAAAATACATGTTGTCAGGGGTAGTGAGCTACATCAAACTCGTTCTGCACTAACTCTTCTCACTTTCCATTAGAATCTATATTCAACTCATAGCTTCAAACCGTTAATCCTCTACTTCTACCTTCCTTTCTCCTCTCTTCATTTTGTCAATCCATTACTGATTCCTCAAATCCCAACCTATCTCTATGATCACTATGGTGGATATGTCCCATCCCTTTTGATTCTTACAAAGTAAAATACATGAGATCAACAAAGAAAAGAGAAATAAAGAAACAAGAAAATTTAGCTCCAGTCCTCCACTCACGCCTCCATCCTCCCTCACATCCATCCTCATTTTCCTTTTCTATTTTGGCTATACATTTGCTCAAGAGGTCTTGAGCTGGATAGAATTTTGAATTTCAATCAACATCATAGATGAGTTAGGACTTTGATAGCTTTATAGGATGCATCAAGATATTATTGTGTGATGTGGAAAGAAAGATTAGACAGCAACTTCAAGCTGTCAGATCCCGAAAACCCAAACAAAGGGAGAGAGAATGACTAAAATCCTAGGGTCTGAACTCAAATCTTTATGCACCAAAGAAACTGCAAATTTCAATATTCATGCAGGCATTGCCTGGGCAAAAAATTTATAAACCCATCTTGGGCTGAACCAAGTTCCAATTTTCAGGAACCAGGGTCCAGTATGGAAACACCCAAACCTGGCTGGTCCACCAAAGGTGTAGCTAAAGCCACAAAGATATTACTGGTAAGATTGATAAATCACGAAATGTAACCAAGCAATTCAGCCAGTGATAACCACAGGTTTGTGTACGATATACACGTCATATTGGTTAATCAGGATATTTTGACCATGGATGTGGATAGTGGATACTGACAATTCTCCAATAGCTGTCATCTGGTTACTGCGGTTAAGTAATAGCGAAATGCATACCAAGGTAGTTAAAAAACAAATGAAGAAAAAAAAATTACCCGCCCCCCTAATGATAAAAAAATCTAATACTTTAAATGTCGCATGCCCTGAACTAGTTATTTGGCTTTGGAGGATTGCCTCATATTCCTACCTACCTTTCTCCTACCCACCCCACCCCCCTAATCCTGCCCCATGAACACTTGGAAAACCACAAGATGGAAAAAGTAGCATGGAACAATACATAGAGACAAGATTTAGTCATTGACACTGTGATAACAGACTGTTACGGTCAATTGTTGTTATCAAGGCACTGAAAATATTAGTCATGGTTTTGATTTGTCTTTGGGTATTGGTATCAGCAGATTTCAAATGTTTGCAAGATGGACTTCTAACAAAGTTAAAATGAAAAATGATATTCACAAGATAAAACTTGAAAGCAAATGTGATAGTTCGAAGTAGGGACGATAGACAAAAAACAATAACATATAAAAGTTTGTAAAAAAAATTATACTAGCGGAAAATTTTCAAATTAAATCTGTGCAGAAGTAATAAGATGGTACCTCTCAGATGTTTCTTCCTCGCACGAATTACTGGATGATGAGAGACAGTCAAGGTCAAGAAAGTTTGAACAGGTTGATTCATCAAACCCATGCTCACTGAAATAACTATGCATGCTTTCAGCGAAAAGCTTTCGACCAGGCATTGGAGTGCACCTTGAAAAGGTTTGTGATAAATATTTAGCCAATTGTATATAATGAAAAAGAAACTGAATACTACACTTTCTTCAGGTGATATCTCCCAGTATTAGTATTAAATATGACCGAACAACAGCTAAAAAAAAAAATTGAGA